GGTAAACATGAATTTGTCAGCAAAGAGGATTACTTAAGTATTACTGACACATTATATAGACGTCCCCCGGCCCCGGCCATAAGGACACACTTAATTACACATTAACATCATAATCTACATACGAACTTATATATATATACTGAACAGGGAAATAGGTTGTCAGTTGAAATCGATAGTCGTTTTGATTTTCATTTTTTTTGAATGAAATGTTTACGACGCGTGGATATATGCCATAACGTGCTCGTTCGTTCGCGTTCTTGAATAGCTGTGTTTTATATCACGGGTTTTTAAACAGGTGTTCTATAATACAGGTGTGTGTATTATCTAAAACAATGGAGATGTATCGATAACATCTATAACAGTATATACACACACTGTATTGTATACTTACAAATATTTACTAATACTATTGAAGGAATCATTAAAAAATAATAGCTGAAACAAAAACAAAAATCTGTACATGAATATATATAATCAAAAAGCAATTTCTGTGACATTTAGTGTTTAAAACTTACCCCCTTAGACGCCATCTTATCTGTGTGTTTTTAAAAATCCTCTTGTATGTCGGTGTCCACTATTATCTGTGTGCTTACTCGATTGAACTAACCTCTATATGTTTTCTTTACATACGTTGGTGTATAGGCAGGCTAACTGTTCATTGAGGCGGCGTCGTGTCGTCATGGCGACACACACCGGTGCGACCCGAAGGAAACTCTCGGAGCGCGACACACCGATTCCGTTATAAGGCTCACTGTTTGGGATACTTAACAAACATGTCTCATTTTAACGAGTGGGTTTTTGAAATCCTTATATAATCGCGAATATGGAAATAAAGTCAGTTTTCTATATTCTGGAACGGGCTTATTTTGATAAAGTGTATGTAACTGCTGAGCACGTACACGTATATGGAAGATATTTGATCCATGTAACATGGATTTAGAACGATGTTTTAAATGGCTTTCATTTTAGACCTACGTTTTCTTTACGACACGTACCGAGGGTGTGAGAAGAGCTATCCAAGTCTGTATCGTCGCGTGTCTGTGCGTTTTGAATAACCACCATTATTTTGTCATCATCGTACTTCTTTTCATTGTATTATTGTCTTTCAAATATATATGAATACTCCCTGCAGACTAGAAGAAAAGAATAGTCCGGCTGTGGGTTCCCTTGCAAAATGGAGTTTTTCCTTTGTTTGTCTGCTTAGGGGAAACCAATGTTGATCTCTCCAGTCAGTTTTAGGTTTGGTTTGGTTTGGTTTAGTATTGTTTAACGTCCTATCAACAGCTACGGTCATTTAAGGACGGCCTTCCCTGTGTGCAAGATAATGCGTGTAGTGTATGCGTGTGTGTTTTGGGAGGCTGCGATATGTTCGTGTTTGCCTCCTTGTGATAGCGCGGAACTTATGCCGACTTTATAGTGCTGTCTCATTGAAACATACTGCCGAAGACACCCAGCAGTACACCTCACCCAGTCACATTATACTGACTCTGGTATGTCTCGGCCAGGGAACAGAACCCAAANCCCCCCCCCCTCCAACAATTGCTTTATCTTCTTCATTCTCTTCTCTATCTTTTAGGCGGTGTACATGTCTCACTTGTCTTCATATGACCTTGGATGTTTCAAGGGCGTCCAGTCAGTTTTAGGTTTGGTTTGGTTTGGTTTGGTTTAGTATTGTTTAACGTCCTATCAACAGCTACGGTCATTTAAGGACGGCCTCCCCTGTGTGCAAGATAATGCGTGTAGTGTATGCGTGTGTGTTTTGGGAGGCTGCGATATGTTCGTGTTTGCCTCCTTGTGATAGCGCGGAACTTATGCCGACTTTATAGTGCTGTCTCATTGAAACATACTGCCGAAGACACCCAGCAGTACACCTCACCCGGTCACATTATACTGACTCTGGTATGTCTCGGCCAGGGAACAGAACCCAAAGCCTTTCTCACAGGGGCAAACGCTAAACTAAAAGCCAAAAGTAAGGCATTGTCAAGGGAGTCATTGGGAAGAAGAAAGATGTTCAGAAAGAAGAGAAGAGATAAGATCCCAAATTTAGTCGCATCTTACGATCATGCAATGGGGGCAGCAGGTACAATTCTTACGCCCTACTTGCACGGACTCAGTTTAAGGTCCAGGATTACAAACTATGTACTTCATATCTGTTTATCTAGAGATAGTTAAGGAGAATTAACAGTCGTGTTTTTACAATGCTACAACGGTAAGACTTTTCTGTCAGTACAAAACTGCTTTAACCCTTTAACTCATTAACCCGTGAAATTTCACAATACACTTTTCCGACCTTTGAATTGGAAGTGTTCAAATGTGTCTTCAGGGGTGAATGTGTGAAGGTTAAGGGTACCACTGTATCGGATATAAAGATGAAGCAACCGAAAAGAGTTTTCCTGGCATACAGTAACTTCCCCTGTCAAGTTATTCAAAGACTTTCCAGCTCATAAATGGGGAATTCATGTTGATTCTTTACATTTGTAAATCGTGTATGGCAACATTGGTACATGTTGAGCGTTAGCATTGCGATGTAAAGGTCATGAGTTTGACCCCTATAATTTTTTCCGTGCCTTTTCTTTATTATTCTGTTTTCAAACATTCAAATTTCGAAGACCTATAATTCTGAAAAAAGCGTCGCAACATAGAATTTGTATATATCATCTTTATATATTTTACAACAAGTATAAAACAAGTTATATTAATCACTATTATTGGGCAAGATGTAAGCGTACGGGGGACTTATTGTTGGAGGAAACAGGAGTACAAGTGTACCCGGAGGAAATCAACGTAGTCGGGAAGGTGACCCCAGACCTTTTCATGTCTGATCTGAGAATCAAACCACGGCCGCTTTGTTGAAAGGCAAGTGCGCTATCCACTACGCCAACCGACCACCATACCAGGTGTTTTTTTATGGAATACATCTATTGGAAAAATCTCGAATAACTATTTAACAATAGTGGCAATTAATGGTAATGATTTATTTTTACTTTATGACACCCGTTAACTTTAAAGAACCACGCGCTCTTACTAATGTTCCACTAACGTGTACAGTCCCTCTGCGTGATTTTTAAATGTCAAAGCTCGCTTCACAGACGAAGGTCGGCCCTAGGACCATTTCTTTCGAAAACACCGGCAGAGCTTTTATGTCTTTATTCGATTTTGAAAAAAGCGGAACTTAAATACCCATAATCGATATCTATAATTAATATACAAACAATTCCAGACTGCTCGTGGGCATCGGCACAGGACAACAGACTAAACGCCGGAACGGACAACAGGAATGATCCGGAAATATGACGGGTATTACTTGGATTCCCTGATTTTTTTTATTATCTAAATCGATTATTTCTTTTAGTTTCGTAAACCAGTTTTGCGTGAATATGTAGGTATGAACACGGTCTTGAGTAATTGAGAATAAGTGCATACAATCCGAACTGATTAATTACTGTCGAGAAAATCGATTTTCCATGCTGTCGTTTATGTAACTATGTCGTGTCACAGAAGTGTAGGGTCGTTAAGATGCAATCTAAGTCATAAGTGATTCGCTTAGAGTACATTGTACATTATTTATTACGGATTTTGTTTTGTTTCAGTTATCCGGAAAATCCTTATTCCGAAAAGTAATTTTGTTACAAAAGGAAACTTATCTTTAAGTCATCACAAGATAACTGAAACATGAACACAATTTAATTTTATGTATATAGGTTGTTGTGGTGTTCGAGGGCGAAACCATTTTAAAAAAAGGGGGGGGGGGGGAGTTATACGGCAGATTTTAATTGTACATAGGACTACGGTCGCCTTCTAGCTTTACACTAGTGGAAATTCCCTTCAGCGTAGCGGTAGAGCGTCTGACTGGGAATCTGGGGTCGTGGGTTCGATCCCCAGTGATAGCAATCTTTCCTGTTACATATATGCAACACTCTCTTTGTTTATTGCAAGAATTTGAGTGTATTCAACTTTAAACATAACGCACAGACAGTAGGCAGCCTGATTTATACCTTCTATGCTAAGCATGCTAAATTGTTTTTATAATCCTCGATATCCAGGGGTTACGCTCACTTTCGCTCACTTTCGCTCTCTATACCCCTGGAATATGGCAAAGCATAATTTAAGGCTCAGTGTGCACCTTGTAGATGAGACGAGAAGACTTGTTTTGTCCTTTGATGTACATCAAAAGAATCTCGCGTTCGCGTAACGGTAAAAACGACAGGTTTTGAAGTCGGGCGTCGCTCCTTTGTATTCTTCAAAGGACACGTATCAGACTAGTGATTGGTCATTTTTTTTTACTTGACACCAACCAAAAAGCTAGCCGCGTGCCTTCAGTTTTGCTATGACAATTTCAAGGGGCCTGGATATCGAGGATGTGTTTTTAAATAATGACCGTGTACATGTAATTATAAACGTACAACGTAATTCAGACGGTTTTCATATTTCGTTATCGGCTCAAAGCTGAAGACAGGTTCGTTCAAAAGTGCTATCAAACGTCTCTGTCTAAGAGAGTGCAGTAATCGGGTTTTAAATCTATTAAATCTGATATTTTTCCTATAAATAATGATTGATTATGGTTCTAAAAGTCGAAATGAAACGTAGTTTTTTTTTTATTGAAATCCTAGTCGTGCAAACGTTTCAGCCGAAACGGTGGTTAAACTAATCAAACAATTTCAGGAATCAGACTTATTTTTAAAATGACTTTTTTTAGTTAATCTTACAACACTTTCATACAAAGAAGGTATAGCAATGATGCGCCAATGCAGTATCTAATACAGATATTTTTTCTTGATAGTATTCCGGATATACTTTATACTTGATACATTTTTCAAAGGGACTTCAATAAGGCTAGAAAAAAATACTTTAAAATGTCCATGTCAAGCCAACCTCGATACAGCAGGTTTTATGCTCACATTTCGCTCACTGCATCCCTGGAATATGTAGCGATTGGTCAGTTTTTTTTTTACTTCAGACCAAACAAGTAATCAGCCGTGTACCTTCAACTTGGCTATGAAGTATTCCAGGAGAACAGAGAGCGAAAGTGAGCGAAAACCCTGGAGCATGGGGAATCTGCGAAAAACTGAAGCCTACAGGAGTTATGTCCCTTTGATCGTACAACGTGTGTAAATTGTATAATGATCTTTATCAATGTACATTTGAAAGTCAACATTTTACATGAAGCAAACTGTTATAGAGAATGTGTACTTATGAGAAATTTCAGGCATTTAAGAAATCTTATGCATATATATATATTAAAACATAAAAATATTATTCGTGGGATTATATAAGGATATGATTCGGCTCAGTCGTAATTTCAAAAATGATATGATGCTTTATTTTTAAGTTTCAATTACCAAGTTAGCTTGGACAACAACATTTTTTTTCTCTCCGTAAAACTATGCCATTTCGAGTGAAACTCAAGTGATTCCGAAATAAAGAATGATCCGGTTAGGAAACTGCCAGGTCACATTCTGACAGCATTGATGACGAATAAAAAATTCTCGATCACCAAGACGTGCCGTATTGTGGACTGCATCAATCATCTTGGTAATCCAGATCCAATAAAGTGTAAGCGATTCAATTAGTCTGGTTTTCTGCCATAGTTACGGTACGCTCCACCAGGGTTACGCTCCATTTAAAATCGATTTCTTTCGTATCTTTTTTTTTCAGCAAAAAAGTAGCAAACGACATTCCTTTTGTCTCTGCCCGTTTACCAAAATTCTTACATAGAGACATTCTTTAGA